GCACCCACATCAAGAGTTGGGAAGGTGATACATAAGGGTTGTTGATTTAGATTGGGAGCTGTGAGCTCCCTCAGCGTTCTTGTTTCAAGAGCCATAGGTATTGGCTCTTCGGACTCGCTAGAATGAGAACTAGCACTTGAGGATTCTCCCGAGTCGGTGTTTGAGAATTTATTTTTCAACCGCTCGAGAGCTAGTTCTATTTCAGGGTTTGTTTGGTAGGTGAGTTGGTTTATGGATCGGGTTTTTACCATATACTCAAACAAAGCTCAGAAAAATAGAAATCTTTATTTATATATATATATTTGATTTTTCCTGAAATGAAATAAAAAGAAAAATTAATTGCCTTTCCGCGGCAACGACGCCAAATTTGACGAGCACTTCGTCGTACTGCGTCAAAATAATTTCCAATACTAACACTTATACGTAGTATAGCGTAGTAGAGTTCGTATCCACATGGAAAGGAATACTTCTCTTTTTGTAAAACTATGTAAATAAGGGGGGGGGGGGGGGGGGGGGAGTTTGGATTGAATGATTTGATTTAATAAGAAACTAAGATGAACGACTTATATGAGATTTAATTCAAGAATAAAAGGGACTTGGTCTTGCTACTTTCCACTTGTTGATATATTTTAGTCGATCATTGTTATATCTATAACTTATCCTCTCTCGAATACTCAATTGAGGAGTATATCCAATTCATCGAGGGTAGTTATTAACAACGACCGTTCATTAATAACCCTTACTATTAATCAAATATAGAACAACGCCTTATACAGATTTAATAGTAGCATTTAATCTTTCTAACTCCTTGATGAAATCAATTGAGATTGATAACCTCAACACAATGGTTTCGGTTTAACCAACAAAATTGATCTCTCTCAAGTTTATTTACCACAACCGTGCATTAATAAACCGAAGTTACTTACTTGTGAAACCATCAACGATTAACCATCGGTTCGTTGAACGTTTCTAGTAGTAATTAATGTCGGAACGTTAACTAATCGTCACTTAGCAACCCTCCAACATTAATATAGAATGAGATTAAGGGAAGAATTAATAATCAAGAGAAGAAGTTAAGAAAATAACTCACAACTTTAATAATCAACAAGCTTCAAGAGAAAAACCAAGAAATGGAAGTTTAGCTCCTCATTTGGAGACTAAACATACTAGAAAAATATAAAGAAATGCTATTCTAAACTGAGCTTAAGAGTATATGTGAATTGGTCAATTAATGAGGAGGAAATGAGGTGTATTTATAGGTTTTTTAGGCATGCAAGGTCATGTACCCGATCGGGCTGTAAGGGCACTCTATCGAGTACTTGGTTGTTTCGCGGAAGTATAAAAAACTGGGACACATCCGATCGGGTATGTCGGCCACTGATAGAGAGCAAGAAGAACCTGGGGCGGGAACGGGATTGGGCTCACTTCCGTGGGCCGGTTCTGGCTAGGGATTATAGTTTTATTTATTTATAAAATTTATCATTATGTTTTAGTTGGGCCTATTATTAGTAGAGTGGTTAGTTAAGTTAAATTGGGCTTAATTAGGGTTTAAGTAATTTGGGCTTGATTAGGGTTTCTTGTAGAAGCTATTTATACCCCTTGCTAGGGTTCATTCTGATTATCTTGGAATAAAGTTAGAGTTTAGCCTTTTGGCTTTGGGGCAACGGTATTTTTATCGTTGATTATCTGGGCAACGGTTCACCCCGTTGATTTCTATTCTTCTGTTACACATCAATTGGTCCGACCTGCCGGATCCCGTTTCCGCCGAAATGACTAGATCTAACACCGAGCGTTTGACGGAGGTGGAGGCCGAACAGGCCTCGATGAACCAGAAACTTGATGCGCTGAGTGCGCAACTTGGTGAGATCGCAGCCGCCCTGACTGCGCTCACGACGGCAGGCCCAACTGGAGGGAAGGCGACAACGGCGTCCGGGGCTTCGGCGGCGGCGATGACGTCGCAAATCGAGACGGCGGCCACCTTTAGCAGCGGCGGCGACTTCGAAGACCAGGGCGGCTTCGCCGCTTCTGGGCGACGTCCGCGAGGCACGCAGGAGGCGCTGCTTCCTTCGTTTGACGAGGCGGATCCCATTGGTTGGCTTGCTAGGGTAGAGCAGCAATTTGAATTGAGTATTACACCACCAGAGAGGAAGGTACCAGCGGCTGTAGTTGCCATGGAAGGAGCAGCCTTGTACTGGGTAACGTGGTTAAGGAAGCGGAAACCTAGCATGACGTGGGAAGAGTTTACGCAGGCACTGGTGGCGAGGTTTGACACACGGTTTACGGGCAGTCGTTTCGAGCGATTGTCCGGGGTCAAGCAGACAGGAACGGTGGAGGAGTATACCTCGATCTTTTTCCAGTTGGCGAGTCAGGTTCCTGGGTTGTCTGACGATCATTACCTCGGGTATTTTATGAATGGACTAAAGGGACCGGTTCGGGGTTCGTTGCGGTTGCTGCGCCCGAATAGCTTGGAGACAACCATGGAATTAGCTCGTGATGTGGAGTACAATCTGTCCGTCCAGCGTGGAGGAAGTGACAGCCAGGATTATAATCCTTGAGGTGTACGTTCCAGTAGCTTTTTAAGGCCAAACACGAGCCCTCCGTTGACTGCCAGTGGTGACAACCTACAGGAATCAAGTGGCAGCTTCCCGAAGGATAGTGGACAACCCCCGAGGACAAAGTCATGACTGTCCGGGCAGCCTACGACACGTTCTCAGTTCACTCGACTTCCGCCAAAGGAGTTCGCAGAATTGAGGGCTAAAGGATTATGCTTTAGGTGTAAGAAACCATTTACACCAGGGCATGACTGCCCCTTTAAGCAATTGCGGGTAATGATAGCTGAGGAGGATGAGGAGTTGGACCTCCAGCAACATGAGTACTGTGAAATAACCGGCCGGGAAAAGGTTCCGGAAGGCGATGAAGGATATTTTCCAGTCTATTCCATGGTTGGAAATTTCAGTCCTCGATCTGGGAAATCACAACCTTGAGGACAAGGTTATTTGAAGGGGGATGGATTGATAGAGAGCAAGAAGAACCTGGGGCGGGAACGGGATTGGGCTCACTTCCGTGGGCCGGTTCTGGCTAGGGATTATAGTTTTATTTATTTATAAAATTTATCATTATGTTTTAGTTGGGCCTATTATTAGTAGAGTGGTTAGTTAAGTTAAATTGGGCTTAATTAGGGTTTAAGTAATTTGGGCTTGATTAAGGTTTCTTGTAGAAGCTATTTATACCCCTTGCTAGGGTTCATTCTGATTATCTTGGAATAAAGTTAGAGTTTAGCCTTTTGGCTTTGGGGCAACGGTATTTTTATCGTTGATTATCTGGGCAACGGTTCACCCCGTTGATTTCTATTCTTCTGCTACACATCAGCCACTCATCGGGTATGAACACTCGATCGTGGCCAAAATCTCCCGTGCATGTTGCCTTGTTCCCGGATTGATCCGATTTGATTTTTCAGCGACTTACCCGATCGGGTATAGGTCATACCCGACCGGGCACAACACAAAAAATCAGGATCTTCAATTTGTCTTGAGATTTTTGCACCTTCCTTCCATCTGTGATGTTCACCAATGGTCCCTAGAGTGATCTTGGACCTGTTTGAGCTCAGTATAAACCTAATCTAAACAAATTACAAACATTTTTACAAACTAAACTATTACACCAAAAGTGTGTAATTTCCAAAGTAACAATCAATCTAAACTAACAAAAAACACAAACATAAAAATGGAAATTACATGAATGTCACAACAATACCAACCAAACCGTGGTTGGATATTTTTATCAAAGAAACCGAACCGAACCGAACCGAACATTTCACTTTGGTTCTGTGTTTGGTTTTAGGTCAAAACCGAACCGAAGCAATCGAACCCACCCCTAGCTGTCAACTCAGGGCCAAAAAGTAGCCCTCCACTCCTGCCTGTGCCATCGGGAGAGCGCGAACAATACCTTTTTGCATTACCAATAATTCCGCAGGCAAAACAAAAACTAAGGAATTTTTCATAGCTAAATTTGAGACAAAAATTTTCCCCTTCATTCGATTGAAGAAACAATTTCTTTTTCAATGGCTTATTCAAGTCAATACTAACCATTATCCTCATATAAGGATTCCATTCGACGGAAAAATTATAATCATCCACCTTAATAAAACTCCCCACAAAATTCCCAATTGTTATGGCGTTTTTCACATAAAAACCCCATTGGTACATCATGAACCTACAGCCAGAAGTCGGCTTTATTCAACGGTACCGTCAAAGGCAAGTCTCATTGCTTTAACTTAGCAAGAACGATGAGATTCTGGTCGAAAGTCCACGTCCCTTCCTCCATAACTGTCCATGATCTTTTTACATCGTCTTAACAATTCATAGTAAATCGTCAAATTACCAAACATACATTTTATATCAATCTGCTATTGATAGTGACTGATCAAAAAAATTAATGTGATCTGCTTCCATAGTTGCATGGATATATCGATGAGCTGATACAATTGATTATCAGCTAACAGCCCTGATAAGTCGAATAAGGATGTTTTTACTTGAACTGTAATTCGTCCCAGATCAGACCAGACTAATTCAGATCAGATCAGACTTGGATAATTATAAAAATACAAAGAAACCAGATCAGACCAGTACAGACCAGACCAGATCAGACCAGACTAAACCAGCAAATTACAGTCCAAGTAAAAACATCCTAAATATACCTTAATTAATTTTAATTGTTAGTTGAACTTTATGTACAAGGTGACAATCTGATCTCTATCAGGCGCCTAACTGGAGTCTAAAGAAATTTTGTGGATTTCATGACTTTACCAAACTAAATAGATAACTTTATAGTCCGCATGAATATAAGTTTGCATCTCAAAGTTCCAATGAATGAACCATTTTTAATCAATTATTATACTCCGTATTACTATTTTGTAATCATATATGGGATCATTAATTTAACGCTGTACGTAAGACGTAAAACAGACGAGGATAACTTTATTATCTTAAATTTGAACGAATGAACAAATAAAACTTTTTATTTTGCCAAAATTGATATAATAAGTAAACATAGAAACCGTAAACCTATTCAAATTAGTCCAAAACTTAATCTGACAAATGCATCTTACTAATTAAATTAAATTAAATTAAACGATTAAAACAGCTAATTCAAAGATTAAAGCTAGACTTTAACTTCACAACCCCGCACATCTGCGGTCCATCCAACATGGTGGCAAGTCTATCAACGCTTTGTGTTTTCCTAAAACCAATCTTTACTTCCTCACAAGTTGCCTTGATGTAAAACACATCCTCCTCTTCTGTCCCGGGCTCTTTCGTAACCCTACTCTTCATATTGATCGTGAACGTATAATCCACCGCCGATTGCAGATCCCGCGGCACGAATAAATCAGTCGCGGCCAGCAACACGGGCTTTCGTTCAAGGCTGCCTTGAATGAAGGTTTCGGGGCGGGCTCGCATGAACGTCTCGTTCCGCCCGCCCCAGACAACCAAGACCTCAATCTCGTTGTACTCATATACTCCACCTTCATAATCATCGTTGCTCACATGGTTGTTGTCGATGGTGAAAGCGACGGTGCAGTTGGCGGTGAGCGGCGGGGGTTCCGTGGCAGCGCTGTTGCCGTCGGCCGGGGCGAGTGTGGGTGAAAGTGTAAAGGCGTAGATGCGTACTTTTGGAGTCGGCGAGATGAATGTTGGACTATTTGTATAAATAATTAAGGCAGTCAAACCACCGAGAAGTAATAAAAATGTCCCTACTAAATAAATTGCAATACCAATCGGAGAAGTGCAACTATACCATGGTTCGTTCGTTGAAGGCGGCATGTTTGTTCTGAGTATACGTATTTGGTTTTTCTCTTCGTGTAAATTAAAGTATGTACACGGGGGTATTATTATATAGTGTTTCATCTATCGTTAAGTTTTGTTTCCTAATAAACTTGGGGATCAGAGTTAATGTCCTTTTAGAAGACGGTTAATGTTTTGATCGAATTGGAATTTATTATACACATGCAGTCCGAATATTTTAAAGAGTCCGTGACAGGCTCAATATAGAGCACTCAGATCCCAGGGGAAGTTATAGTTTATACGTAGTACTATACTATACAGGCTCAATATTTTATTATACTATATGACCGGTTGTACGGTGCCAACCGTACAGTCGGTGACACTTTTATAATTTTGATGAAAACACGGATTCTCTTAACCGAGCATTGATGCAATTTTGGTGAACATCAAGTCTGTTTTTATGAGTATTAGGAGCCTAGCAATGAGCATATATGTGCAACATTTTAAATGAGCATAAAGCGGTACCAAATGAGCATTTGTAACTTAGAAAATGAGTATCAAAAAATTCAAAAGCTGATTTGTCTATGCTCATTCATTTTGAACGTAACGTTGTACTCATTTGATCTTAATATAAAACTCATTTCTATTATGTTCAATATTCATTTGTGTATGTTCATTATTAGTTCCTTTTAGGTGTATACTCATTTGAGTTTAATGTAAAACTCATTTGAGATTAACAACAGCAAGAGTTCCTCAGCAACGAAATAAGCTCCCCTTGTCTCCTAAAATCACATGCTCAAACAGTAAAACTACACCAACAACTATGCCGGAAAGAAAAACAGAGGGAGGAGAGGTGAGTAGGTAAGTAGGGAGGAGAAGGGGCGACTGTTGAACTTTGGTGGCGAGGTGCTGGTGCGAAATCAGATCGAAGAAGCCCAGCGAGATTGAAGAAACGAGATGTGAAGTCCTGTGCAAAATCCGATGCAAAAACGTCTTCGAAGTCCTATGCGGCGAAGGTCTGGTGTGAAGGCAAGAAGCGCAGAAAGCCTAAAAAGGCCCGACTGTATCATGCCTACGGTACAACAGGCTATATGATGTAATTTGCGGATCCGAGGCTAGAGAATAGGATAACAAATACGAAGTAAAAAGTAAGATATCGTAAGCTAAAAATATACGTGTGGGAAAGTAATTGGATGCCCCGATGACACATAACTAGTACATTAAATTTTTAAAAATTAAATGATGAAATTTAATCTTACAAATTAAATGTTTAATAAAAAGTACAAATCCGTCTTATTATGTTTTCGATCGGTTCGGGATTAGTACAGAAAAATATAGATCGGTACTGTTGAGGTTTAATCCTCTAGGTCCAAATGTCCAATGACTCGACACTTTCCCTTGGGCTTTCGTAGGAGAATTTGATGAGTGATATGAATTTTCTCACACTTAAAAAAAGTGTAGTAGTATAGGACTAAAGTACGAGTATCATCTGAACAGAGACATAAAAAATGGAATTAAGTATTAAATAGTTTCAGCGATTAAAACAAATAAAATAAATAAGTAAATGCGATGTGCGAGATTGATTTTTAGAAAATTAATCAATGCGAAAATAAAGCTAAATTAAAGGTTCTTTCTAATTAATGACACAAGGGGACAAAGATTGATTTCAGGGGTAATTAGATTTCGGGGTTGATCATGCTTAACCACATTATTTAATTAAGCAACATAGGTCAATACTAAGTTCTTATCACTCTCGCGGTGTAGAGTACAATAATTTAGAGAACCAAGCCGATCTCCCATGCATACGACAAGTTCCTAATTTATTGTCAAAACGAGCGAGTGTACGGCTCCCTAATCGCTACTAATATCTTAGCGAACGATTAGGTGTGCGTGAAAGTGTCACGCCCCAGACCGCATCTAAGCGCGTATACAACCGCCGTGTGATTAAGTGACGTCACTCGCAAGTCAACCTCACATAATAACACAAGGCGTTCATGAACATCGTTCACACCATACTCAGTAGTAAACATACATAAAGACATTATATCATAGATTGAATGAATAGTGGAAAATATTCAACAGTCAATCATAAGCCACATATGGCAAAACGTAGGCTCGCAGGCCAAAACAATGTAATATTACAAAAGTATCCATGAGCATAGTTTATGATTTAAAATAATAAAGGAAGCACGAACCACGTCTTCCTCTAGATTCTTTCCACCCGTGCAAAGGTGTAGACAACAGGCTCTAGCTTCAACCTGAAATGGTGGCCCCCCCGAAAGGGTCAGTACAAGTACCGAGCGAGTAGCAAGCTAAATGTAGAGTAACTAACGTTTCAAGTATAAGACCCAAACGTAGGGTGATACATATACTTATACTTCCTTACCCCAAGTTACAAAATACGTATCAGTACTTATATACACTTGGAAATACCCGTCTCGTAGGTCATTGTTTAATTGGGAAACATAATAGTAGTCAATGTCCTTGACTTAAAACCCCAACCCACCCATAGACCTATGAGTGTATAGGACTCCTCCTGTCCAAATCAAATAATCATAAGGACACTGCCCGGTCCTGAATTACTAAATAGTAATCTATGAGTTTTGAGGATACACGCCCGATCCTTGGGTACTCCACCCTATATAACCGAGTTTTGAGGATACCGCCCGATCCTTAGGTACTCCACCCTATACAACCGAGTTTTGAGGATACCGCCCGATTCTTGGGTACTCCACCCTATATAACCGAGTTTTGAGGATACCGCCCGATCCTTGGATACTCCACCCTATATAACCGAGTTTTGAGGATACCACCCGATCCTTGGGTACTCCACCCGACCTATGATCTACCACATATCATACTAGATAGGGCCTATATCATAATTAATAAACAAGACTAGACCAAGTCTTGAGGCCTAAACAAAATCATCCATGCAACTCATCCATTAACATTAGCATATAGGTAAAGTAAGGCCAAACCGGCGCCGGTAAACTCTAGGTTGACCCGCCATTCCAAATCCAATGTGTGTCACACTAAGTCACAATATGTACTAAGTTATAAATAACTATTTTATGCATATTTCATCTCTAAACATATCACATATGTTTTTGTGAGCATTTTCACTTCACAAATCATGCATATTTCAATAGTTCACTTCATACAAGCCTAATCACTTTAATTGGCTAATCACATGTTTAATTCATTTAAACATTATTATGAACACACATAACATATACTTAGGTAATCTCATGCTTAACCCAAAAGTTACAAGACATTAAGCCATCCACTCACCTTAAATGCGTTATAGCGTGTTCTACGCTCTTCGGTTGAACTCCGGCAGAACTCCGGCGAAACTCCGACGAACTCAGGAGAACTCTAGAAACGCCTTAGTTAAGCTCCTAACATGGTTTTATCATCACAAAACTCATATCAATACAAATAACCTCCAAAAGGTTATTTTCCGGCGAACCGGTCGTTTTGGCTTCTAAGTCCGTTCTTGGACATAGAACCACCTTCCAACCCCTCATTCTACACTTCTAAATGTGTAGAATGATTCTAGGAGTCCTCTATAGGATATAGAATACGTATGGAAATCAAATGTTGGAAGAAAAGTTATTAAAGAACTTCTCACCTTTATTTTTCCAAGTTTTCCTCTACTTTTGCTACTTCCTTTTCTTCCTTGAGTTTCTTGTTGTTTGATCTTGCTTTGGCTATGGAAAATGAAGTTGCAGAGCTTCCTTTATCTCTCCCCTTGGTGCTGGCCGAAGTTTAGGTGAGGAAGGGAGGGGGTGGGCTTCCTTTTTGTCTCTTTGAGCAACGAGTGAAAGAAAAGGGGTCCACTCCATTTATTTAGGTGCCCCATCATCACCATCACTCCTCCCCCATAATGCAGCCCCTTGTCAAACTTGAGCACAAAAACGTGGGGTGGCCCCCACTTATGTGGGAGGTCATCCCTTTGTGCCCCGATTTGGACAATCGGTCCCGAAAGTTGTATTTTTCGGACTGTTTTAAATATATTTTATTTTATCGGGTCAAATAAAATATATTATGTGTTTCCCATCCTTATGGACTCTTAGAATGAATATAAATTCCTCATCTTTAATTTATGAGTCTCCGAAATCTGTTTCGGGTTGTTATCTGATAAAGTGCCGGTAACGGTAATTGGGCTTCGTTTGACTGACGGGTCAACCCTAAGTCCTTTCTATGACCCAACTAAAATATATACCATCATATAAATATTATCTAGAACAAGATGAATATAATATGTGGTCCCGGGATTACCGGACGGTCTCTGCTCCCTGTGTGGGCCCCACGTGCAGTTCACTTTTCACGCGAAAGAAATAACCAAAAATTTACAACCACGTAAATTCATAAATCAATATTCAAGATTTATTACATGATTTACTAAAAAGTAAATATATTTGGGGACGGTGTTACAGAAAGTGTCCTAGAATAATTTAGATCACTCTTAAATTATTCAATCTTTTTGAAATTATAATCCTAGTGACCATTCCAGGTTACAAAAGATATCAATTAAATTATTCAAACACCAACCAAATGATTAACATGCAGTAAAACCTCAAGAAACTAACCCTATATTAATTAATCCCTTCATCAATCCTGGATCCCTTATTAAAACTACACACAATTCATAATTGAATAATCAATAGAATTGATAAAGAAAAAATTAGTTGTCATTAATTAAAAAGATAAAACTTACCAATAATCCAAGAATCTTGAATATACAAAGTTGAAACTACTAAAAATTTCGTCCTAGGCATGCACTGTAGTGTATGTTCACACACCAAGAGCTTGTAATTGGACTTTGAGATGGGTTGACCAGTCCATCTCATGGTGTGCATCGATCATCTCGATCATCTCTATTGCCGGCTATATGCTCCTGACCTTAATTGGCCGGGTCGTGCCTCATGTCAGCGCCGTTACTTTGAAGAAATTAGAGTGCTCAAAGCAAGACTACGCTCTGTATACATTAGCATGAGATAACATTATAGGATTTCGATCCTATTACGTTGGACTCTATTGACCATTATATTCAAGATCTATTTTTCAATCTTGGGTGCAATGTACTGAACATTTTTCGAGCATTCTCAAGCACAACTTCATGAACTTTGGTATTCATAGTACTCGCAAAAGCTTTCACTAGTTCAATAAAGTATCCCCGATTTGATGATTTTAGAGATGCATCATGACCTCTAAAGGCACAACCTTGAAGTGCTAACCAGCGAACAATTATAATAGAAGTTCTCAATCGCAAACGATTTTTCTCCTTTTCTTGTTGTGATCGTTCGTGCAAAACATTGTTAATATGGACAAGTGATTGCCTCAAATTTTCAGCTCTACTAAAACACATAATATGGGGTGATAATGTTGTAATACCAATGTGCTGAAGAAATGCACATTTATTTCCTTGATTTATCTTCTTTTGATTTTGAAATCCTTCGTTAACCAGTGCAGAAGCAGTATGCATATGAATGTCACTCAAGAAAAGGAAGCAACAAAAATAGTAAGCCTAATCATTTTTGAGCTCCAAACTTTGTAACTGGATAAACTTCCATTCTCGCTTGATAAGGCCCAACATTTAGATATGCACATCTCACTTCATCTCGTACATTGACAGGATATTCATGAATTCACATTCTTTTTCCCGGATCTCTCTCAATGGAAAAAGATGAAGGCAACTCCAAATTTGAGATATTTTGAATTTCAGGGACTTGAACTTGTGGAGGAACCTCATTCAGTAGATCTTTCACTACCAAAGGCATATGTTCAGAACTCCTTTCACCACTTTGACGATCACTTTCGTAAAGAATGGCAAAATCAACTTCTTTCTTTTCTTGACAATATCTTCATTATCCATTCTAAAAAACATTTTTAATAATATGATATGAATTAAAATACTTCTATAAAATTATATAAATAATTAGAAAAAAATAATCGTTGTACCTAAAACTAATAAGTATTCCCAATTTCAAAATTCAATTGAAATTTTCACTTCTTTATTACATGTCCACACGATAAATAAATCATTCTCTAATCTTCAATCATATAATAAACAAATCATTCTAATCTTTAATTCTATCTTTAATCATTACAAATTTGTAATGAATTAAACACTATTTTGATTCATACTAAAAAATTCAATTGATAATCAAATTGATTCTCTAACCCCAAAACTCTAAAAGGCTAAAAATAATTATACACAATAAATCAATAACAGTCACAAAATAATAGAGCAAAAAACTAAAACGTTCACCTGGAGCTTTGGTGCTGGAGGTAGAGTCTAGAGAAGAAGGATGGCCGACGACGAAGGGCTTTGTATGAGCGGTGTGGATGGTAGAACGTGGCACGGCATAGCAGGGTTGCAACTCACAGTGCAAGTTCTTGCCTTCTTCGTCGCAAACTCGCAAGTCACAGAGCTCTATCTTTGTTCTTGGATTTTTCTTCTTGGCACTTATGCCATTTTGCATAAAGAGGCGTAATAAGTTGAATAGGCTAGGCTGGGTTGTGGGCTAGGTTGGGAATATATTTTGGGTGGGCTGGTAATAAATTTAGGGGTGCGCTGATAATAAAACTTATACCTACACTAATTAAAAAAAAAACTTGGTCTGGGCTGGAGTCTACCCCTTCCCTACGTGCTTAGTCGGCTGCATAGGGCATCAACTTTCGCCATACATTTTTTTATATTTTTAAGAAATATATGTACATTTAACTTTAACTTAAGCACACATATGAAGAAAACTACCTATAGATGAAGATAAGAATTATACATTTTTGTATATGTTTTTAAAAGTTACTATTATCATTTAATACTACATATTTAATGAATTGCGTATTAAATATTGAAGTTAACTGAACATTTATAATGTTTAATTAAATGTGACAATTCTATCAATCATGCATTTTAATGTGTCTGATTTATACATACACAAACACAATATTACTTATCATATTTACGTAGAATATTAATAAATATGTAATTTCTATGTCTCCGACTAGTTTCGCCTAGATGCGAAGCCCTAGCCTGGGGTACTGTGAGTAGTGCCATTTAATTTTTTTAGAACATATTGGATGCTATTAATAGAACTGATTTGGGTCCAGACGAAATCAGATCAGACCATACTTACACAAGTAAAATACTCATAAAACTACATTTATCATATCAGAACCGAGTAGAGTTGAGCAATTCATTTGAATTCATTGTAATAGTGAAACATGATATGTCAATTTGGTCACCAAGGGCCAATTATAAGTGATTGAACTCGAAATTTGTAATGAATAAATTTAACCAGGGAGCTATAGCAACGCTTGATGTGAAACTAACATTTCGGCCTATCTTAGTTTTCGTGACGAATTATTTAATTTATAGGTGATAATTTTTTATTGCATAAAGTTCAGATTGAGTAAATATAAATATAAACATAAGTGTAATCTGATTTTGAGTTCTTATTAGCATTTTTTTCCTTAATACGTTAGTATGAAGATATTACATTTATATGTCATGCTTACAGATTTAATTCCATAGGAAATAAATACGTAATTATAGCAATTGTTTATACATATTTCCTATATGAAATTAATACCAATATATGAAATGCATTATTTATTTGAGTAAATATATTACTCTTACATTTTTTGAAAGGATATTACCCTTACAAGGTAGTATTAATACGTACGGAGTAGTATAATTTTCTGACCCATATTCAACATAAACTTGAACTTAAAAAAAATTAAAGAATTAATCAATTAAGTAGTTATACTATCACACATTCACACATAATAACTTCGTAGACTAAATACGTATTACTCATTCAAAACTATACCAAATTCTAATTCTAATTGACTTTTAAATAATAAAGAGAATCATATATACGGGTAATTAATTCCAAACACATTAACGTAACCTTCTCCTATTAGAACAGCAACTCTAAAAGATGGAATCAAAACCTATACGCAGTAACGTAGCTGTTAGCTATAAAAGGCCAGGCCGCTTATTATAAGAATTACAAGCTCGTAGTAATTAAGCATGCCGCCTTCAACGACGACGGATGACTGCAATATTGGGTGGCAGTGCTGTGTTTGGGGAATAACAATGGCAGTTTCTCCATTGGTCGTTTTTGGTATTCTTTTTATCGTTAATATCTTTCAGCCGATTCCAGACGTTCGCATCTATGACTTCACGCTCTCACCTAAACCCGTCGCCGGCAACAGCAGCAGCACCGTGGAATCCCCGCCGCTCGCCGCCAACTGCACCATCGTTTTGGCTTTCGACAACAACAATGCGGGCGGAGAATATTACTACAAGGTCAATCAGTACGATGAGGTCGAGTTGTCGGTCGTCGTAGGCGACCGTAACGAGACGTTAGCGCGGGCCCACGCCGAGACTTTCTGGCAGGGTAACGTCGAGCAAAAGCCGTTGGTGGTGAGTATAACTGATTTTTCCGTCCCGGCGGATTTGGAATCCATGACAGATTACACGTTCACCGTTAACGTGAAAAGTAGGGTTAGGGAGAATCCCGGAGCGGACGACGAGAATGCCTTTTACATAAAGGCCACGTGCGATGATGTAAGGGTCGGGTTTGGGTCAACGGAAGGCGCTGACCGTGTTGGGATGATGTTAGATGCAGCGAGGTTGTGTAGGGTTGTGAAATTGAAGTCAAAGTTCAATCTTTGATCTGCGGTTGCTATTCATTATTTGAATTTTAGATATATAAATTTGAATGGATTACGTAAAGTTACATATTGTTTTACGTAGAGTTACATATTGTTACACGTAGAGATACATATTTATACACACGAGTTGCATTTGACTTGACTGAACGTGAGTTACATATTTTAACACTTAAAGTTACATATTTCACACACAAATGTTAATATGTTAAAATTACATAGGCAATATTGGTCTCATTTGAAAGATCATGAAAAATAAAAAATATTGATATAAATTTTATAAAAATCGGATCAAAAATAAAAAAGTTATTACCATTTTTTAAAAATAAAAGGAAAAAAAAAATATAAATCTGTCCCGGTATACGGTGCTCACCGTATACCGATTGCACGGTATACGCACTCCTCTCCATTGGTCCGATCTAGCTAGTCCGACATCCGACATAATTGGACTAAAACATCCTAAAATCATATTTTGTATATGTAGTACTATGTATACTATTTGAGGTAGTACTATTTGATTAAACACACTCACACCATGTTGTATTTGGTAAATTATACTCCCTCCTTCTCCCTCACATTGAACCGTTTTACTTTTTTCGTTCAACTCATTATGCTTGTCTCATACCGTATTTAATTTGTTAATATTTGGGTGATTACAGTTCATTCTTACTTGATTCATATATTATCAATTCAATATCAACTACACAATTCTACTTTTTCTTAAAAGTTGTGTCACACGGTCACACTTCTTTCTCCCAAACATAGTGGGACTGAGGTAGTTACTAAGTAATATCCCCCGTTCTTTTTTAGTTGCAACATTCCTTTTTTTCACGCTTACGAATGTACAACTTTGACCATCATTATATTTAACTCCCTATTAGTAAAAAAATTAAAAATCAAATTATGAAACTTTGTAATGAGACTAATTCAATAATATTTTTCAAAAAATAATAATTCACATACATTAATAAATAAAATGTAGTCAAAGTAGTGTACATGAATAATGTGTAAATTTCAATGTTGCAACTAATTTGATAAGGAGGGAGTATTAGATTTTGTTTTGAGAATATCTTTCTAAAAATATTATAGTATATGGTCATGATAATGTCAATATCTTTAGTTGAGACGAGCTACTCAAATTTGTGACATCCTCTTTGGGAGATCAACGATGATATCATCAAATAATTAGGGAGTATTAGATATTCCACAATTATTTATCAACTTTTAGAGGGGAAGGTGAGCAATCCACTTAAATCAAATAATTAATTTTCTTTCTGCATAAAGAAGTATTGGGCGAATACAATAAATCAATTGCCAAGTATTTGTAGCTTTTCTGAGGTCGGAGAATTACATGCGTCAAGTCAAGAGCTACTACGACGCACGATTCCGAGGTCGGGAGTTCCAAGTGGGGGACTACGTCCTCAGGCGATCAACGGCAAGCCAACCCACAGAGGGAGGCAAAACGGCCAAGAAATTTGAAGGGCCCTTTATCGTCACCACTGTAGTCCGGCCCGGGACTTACAAACCGAGCACTCCAAAAGGCACGGAAGTTCCAAGATTATGGAACGTCCACCACCTGGTGAGGTACTACCAGTGACCCAACGCTGTAAAGGAGACAATGAGCCCTCGCCAAACGGAGACTTTGCACAATCACGGGCATTGGAAATCCGGGGTCACTGCTAGCCACCTCGGCCGTATACACTATAAGCTGTTAACGTCATTCACACAAGTCAATAAAGGAAGGGTTCAATACATAACTCTCCAGCCCGAGCTCAATGCTACAACAAGCCGAGGCAACTTCAGAAGCCCTCGCAAATACAGGCTCTCCAAGCCCACTCTCAGGCTCTGATGCCACTTTGTAAGCCCTCAACGCCCTAGGGACCACAGCCTCAGCGGCTCCCCAAAATCCGAGGCCATTTCATAAGTCCTCATCAACACGGGCTCTTCATCCAGAATCCAACAGCTCAAGGCAACTTCATAAGACATCGCAAGCACAGGCCCTTCAGCCAAAATCAACCTCCTGAGGCCACTTTGTGAGCCAACCACGTTCCAGGGAAATCAATCTCAATGACTCCCAATCTCAAAGGCCACATTGTAAGCCATCCACGCTCAAGGGATAATAGTCTCGATGACTCCCAATAACCGAGGCCACTTCGAAAGCCCTCAACAAAACAGGGACAATAGCCCCACGCGACTCCCAAAGTGAGAAGTCAAGGCATGCATATAAGCCCTTGTTCTTTACTCACAAAACAATCAGGGATAGTAGCCCAACACGGCTCCCAAATATATGCAGGGTATTTTTCCCACATGCCCACTCTAGTCAAACATCCTACATGGTATGACCCCTCACATTGGGGTAATTTCAGAGGATCTAGCTCTGGAGGAGGTGGACAGGCTGGCGGTGATGGTACTGGCAGGGATTTCGGAGGCGGTGATGGCGGCAGCTCAGACACAAACGACGAGGAGTATCCATATGCGGGCGGTTATCATGACAGCTACTATGGCTATGAAGGCTACTTTGACGGAGGAGATGCGGGCGGGCACTAGGGACAGTGCCATGGATTAGATGGGGGGAGAACTATTCTGGTACACTCCCATTTCATGCTCTTTATTCTTTCTTAACACAAAAAAAAAATAAGCTTGTTAGGTTGAAAACCCAAAAGGGCAACTTAAGCAAAATAAAAGCGAAAAGAAGAGTGAGTTGGTGAGAATAAAAAGGAAAATGCGGGAAGCTGGGATGAAAACCCAAAAGGGCACCTAGGCAAAATGAGAGTGAGAGAAAATATTTCTTTTAAATTTGCAGGATCCTAAGGGTACACACAAGGAGCAAAAGAAGAGGAACCCAATGATGCTGAAGACCTCTTAATTATGTGTTTTGATCATTGGAACATTTTTATGTTGATTATCAAAAACACTTGTGGATGGTTGTGTTGTGCTACTATTTTGTTAAAAATTTCAAGGACATGATTTGTTTTACTCGAGACGAGCAAAAGTTCAAGAGCGGGGGTGTTTGATAGGCACTAGTTGTTAGTGTCTAAGTGTACATTTTTATTATCGTTTGTAATGTTTATTTACTAGTATTATGCAAGTTTGTAGTTGTTAGTTTGCATTTGATTGTAATCGTAGTTTTAGCATTTTATTGCTTGTTGTAAGTTGTAGCTAGTTGGACTATAAATTTAGGATATATTTGGAAGCAAGAAGGATGAGAAAACATGAGTTTTATGCAAAACCCGGTCGGGTATGGCCTTTACCCGGCCGGGTATGAAGTGACAAAGGAAGTTGTTGTGAAATTAGCAAATACCCGGTCGGGTATTCCCTATACCCGGTAGGGTATGCAGTGATTTCGGGCAAATGAACGTGCAGAAGAACACAAGAACATGGGAAAAAGATTTGATTTGATAAATACCCGGTCGGGTATGTTAAATACCCGGCCGGGTATCCGGCATATCATTAGGTGTTGAAAACACCTATAAATAACCCCATTTCCCTTCACTTTTGATCATATATCCCTTCTTCCATACTCTTAATCTCAGTTTAGAATAGCATTTATTTATATTTTTCTAGCTATGTTTAGTCTCCAAATGAGGAGCTAAACTTCCAATTCTTGGTGTTGCTCTTGAAGCTTGTTGATTATTAAAGTTGTGAGTTATTTTCTTAACTTCTTTCCTTGAATATTAATTATTAGTTCTTTCCTTAATACTATCTCTATATTAATGTTGGAGGGTGTTGCTAAGATGACAATTAGTTAACATCTCGACATTAGTTAGAATAGTATTTTCTTCCTCTATATTAATGTTGGGGAGTGTTGCTAAGATGACAATTAGTTAACATCTTGATATTAATTATAGTAGAATTCATCCCCTTTAATGTTATTCTTCCTTGAGTATTAATTAATTCCTATTCATATTTCATATTAATATTTTGAACATTACTTAAAGGATCAACTAGTTTTGTTTCATATATTAATTATTACTAGAAACGATCGACGAACCGATGGTTAATCGTTGATGGTTTCACAAGTAAGTAACTTCGGTTAATTAATGCACAGTCATGGTTGATAAACTTAAGAGAGATTAATTTTGTTGGTTAAACTGAAACCGTTGTGTTGAGGTTATCAATCTCAATTGATTTCATCAAGGAATTAAAAGATTAAAAGCTACTATCAAGTCGGTATATGACGGTGTTCTATACTTGACTAATAGTAAGTGTTATTAATGAACGGTTGTTGTTAATAACTACCCTCGATGAATTGGATATACTCCTCGATTGAGTATTCGAGAGGGAATAAGTTATAGATATAACAATGATCGACTAAAATATATCAATAAGTGGAAAGTAGTAATGCTAAGTTCTTTTATCTTTGAATTAAAACACATAGAAGTCGTTCATCTTAGTTTCTTATTAAATCAAATCATTCAATCCAAATTCCCGCCCCCCCCCCCCCCCCCCCCCCCCCCCTATTTACATAGTTTTATAAAAAAGAGAAATATTCCTTTCCCTGTAGATACGAACTCTACTACGCTATACTACGTATAAAGTGTTAGTATTGAAAATTATTTTGACGCACCGTGACAGAGTGCACATAAGGAGCTGAAAAAGAACCAATGCATCAAAGGCAAGAAAATATCACTTCAGATTCTGGTACGCATACTTGTAATTTTGTATAATTTATCTCTTATTTAATTTTAGTTTGAATCTGGATCAGTTCTAATGATGTTTTTTAAGGCGATTTCACTTCCCACACAGTTATTCTATGCTTTGGAGAAGCGGAATACCGTGAAAAGAATTTTAGTGAAGATAGTTGTTTGCTGGATGTTAATTTGGCGATGTGTCATAAGTTTGTTGACATCTATTCTGTTGAGATAAAAATAACTAATGAAATGGGAGGCCACTCAAACGTGATCAGGTGTTGCCAATATGCTTAAGGAACATCAGGATGTAAAAAACAATTATCCTATGTCAAAGAAATGTGTAATAGGCTAAAATACTATACGCCGAATCTAATATTTT